AGCAAGTCGTCGGTAAGTGTTGGTGCTTCGCCGATGCACGCGCGCATTCGCCATTTCGACAGCCGGAAAGCCACAACCTCGACCCCTAGATCCCACCTGAAGTTGCAGACCATACATATATATATATATACACACATATATGAACCGTGAACTCGGGCCTCTTGAAACCCGGCCAGTCCTGAATCCTAGAAGCCCTCCAGTCCCCAAACACATCCAAAGCACTTGCTGTATCTTCTGCCTCTCCGATCAATGGCCTCAAAACCCCTCTAGAGTTCAGTATCAGAGATTTTGCCCTCCACACCACCCCTCCCCCCCCTCTCCCGCACAGTGCCTCATCCACCACGGGGGCCCCCTTTTGGGGCCGGTGCTGGCGCCGGGCCGTGACGGTCGCTGGCAAGCCAGGTTCCCACCTCGGCTGGGAGTTCATTGGCTTTCTGGGTTGCGAAGCCTTACGGTGCTTCTCGAGGCTTCTTGAGAGCAACTATAAACCTTCTGCATCATTCTGCCGCATTTGCGCCTAAGCGTTCAAAGGTGCTTTGATCAATATACTCAGAATGTACTGATACGTGGGTGCAAGTTCTGGCAGGTGCAGTTCGGAAAGCGCAACAAGAGGGCTGATAATTTGACAAGCCTTATGGTTCAGTCGACTTGTGTGGCGGTTGAGTGACACAGTCTTCCCATCCTTGTTGATGGTGGTGAACTCCTTTTGCATGGTGTCGCTTTGGCCAACCCCATAGACCTGAGACCACCTCAAAAAACATGAGTCTATATATGATATGACTAAAACATCACGCAAATGGAACATAGACTGTATTCTATTGTCATAATTTTACACTACTGTATAAAGAGATATGACATGTAAGTGACTGGAGGGTGTTTTTTTGCTTGCTTCGTTTCTAGGGTTGTTTAGGGCGTCTTGCTCGAAAGCCTGCCTACGCTTTGAGCCAGAAGAACAAGTCCGCACAACGCCCAATCAAGTACATGACGGTTGCAATTCCGTTCATAACGGATCCCAACTTGTGTCTACACGAGCTCTGCCGTTCAACCTCGCATGCATGTGAATTCAAAGAACTGGCCACGTAGGTATGTGGCTTTAGAATAGTCAGGTTTTCAAAGTGTGGGGCAGGCGCTACTTGCCACGCTGGAACTACGAGGCCTTGTTGCGAGCATCCAACCCGAAGCCGAAACGCCTCCGAAACGGGGTGTTGGACAGGACTAGGGTTTTGGATCGTTCTTGAGCATAAGAGGTCATCGAAGCCGGTTACTTGGTCAAGGACCCCAACCGGGGGGACCCAAATTTGTTCGGTTCAGGAACTCAGTGTTGGATGGAATCCGTGCGCAACACGACATGCTCAGCCTTTTGCACACGCTTTGGGCGACCGAGCGGTATATATCCCCAGAGCAGTAGCTCATGCACCAATACCCCAAAAATCTCTTAAACCAAAGGGCCTGTACACGTATAGAAGTGGTAAGGCCATAAGGGTCCAGGGCTTGGGTCTAAGGGTGCAGGGACTAGGAGCTTGCACCATATTTTGCCAAGGCCGCTTGAGGGCTGGCAATCTGCAAAGCTCTTGAATCAGCTGCTGGCAGAATGGGGTCCTTCTTGTGAAGCCTCCTAGCTAGCCAGATCTCAGCTGAGCGCGAAGCTCCATCAGGGCCTTGAGGCATGATGCGTGGCAAAGGGGAAGAACTCAGGATCTTAGGAGACGTGGGGCTGGCGGTGTGCAAGGTGCATGACCAACTATACCATCTTCCGACCTTCAAGTCTAGCCGTTCTTGCGAGAAGCCGTTTACAACAGCAACCAGCCCCCCATAAACCCTAGAACCCGAATGGTGGTCTGACAAGGCTTCCGAACATGCTGCGTGAGGCCATGGGCTTCAGGGACCTGATCCTCTCTGATTTCCGGGTTGTGGATGTTGGGGGCCCTGGATTCGGAAAGCAAAGCTCCCCTCCTTGCCCACGGCGTTCTGGCCTGTTGCCAAACCACCTGTTCAGCGAGTTTGGAAGGAGGTGGGAAGTTGAGGGTGTTTAGGGTTAAGGGTTCTCAGTGTGGAGGGTTCTGGGAGTTTAGGGGTTAAGGCTAAGGCTAAGGGTTAAGCGGGAAGAGGGTATTTAGTGTTCAGGGTGTAGGGTTAGACAGGGAGGGGGGGGCGGGGGGGGTGTGCAGCCAAGGAAGATGACAACATCAACACGATGGAGAGCCTGGTGCCCCAGACCCCAAGCCCCTCAAGGCTTAGAGGCTTCAACCGGGTTTCTGATCACCTCCTGGAGTGGGGGTTCTCTCAACACTGCACAAGCGTGTTAGAATCCCAACTCTCTTGACCTGGGGGTGTGGGATAAAACGTAAGACGTAAGGCTTTGCTCTTTTTCGGATGCTTTTTTCGGGGAGCTACGAGAACATCCACACCGGGGGAGCGTGTATAGTGTCTGTTTTACCTGGCGCACATCTCGATTTCTGCGTGTCATCCTTGCGCCAGGGGGGCCATAACATTCTTCTCCCAAAGGGTTGGGGGTTGCGGCTTTGGCTCCCTGATTTCGCAAAGCCCCAAAACACCTGGCGCTTGCATTCCAGCCCATGGGTCTGTGTCTACAAAGACAATGGTCTTGTCGCCCGTGGCCAGCAGTGCCTGGGAGGAGGCTTCATCTCATGGGGCATTTAGGAGTATTCGTACAGGCTGTTTTTCGGGTTGTGGCTCGGGCTCAAGCTCGTGGTTTCAGGATTCTTTCGTTCAGATTCGGGCTTCCACTAGAAACGCAATGTGACATATCCAGGGCTTCAGCTGGCTAGCTGGCTGGCTTAAGCATGGAGGTCCTGGACCCCTTGAACCCGCTAAAGCGACTTAAAACCCGCCGCGAAGAAGGCACACGACCCCCGAAGCTCCATCATTCGCTTAGACATGCCCTGGTATGATCCCTATGATGGGTGTTTCTTCTCGCATAGCTGGAAGATACGTTCGGGGCATGCTTCTTAGGGTGTTTAAGGCCATCTCGCAATGCAAGACCCTCTGTCAAGGAACCTTTACAGTATTGAAACAGGACTTGACGACTGCCAGCACTGCCTCCTCGGCTGTCAAGGACCCTAAATCAAGCACCTCTGCGCCCGAGGCGCTTGAACAAAAGCAGGGCATTGCGCCGCCTTCACGCGTTGGGAGCTCAGTCCACACATTATACGGAGGAGATGGAGGGGGTGGACCAAGCGGGCAGATCAGGTGGTGAGAATGGGTAGTTTGGGTGGTTGGTAGTCTCATTGCGTGTATTTCGTCCATAGGGGATAATGATTTTGGCTTCTGAGTTACGGGTCTAGGTTCGTCTAGCGCGCCTCAGGTTTTGCAACTTCCAATACGAGCTCAGAATGACCTCATTCCCAATCAACCCCACATGGGACTAAATTGACATTTAAAGGTGGACCTCTGTAGCAGGACTTCTTATACGGGACTTTGCTTTTTATGAACGCATAAGCAAGGAGGGATAAAGCCTCTACGCGCATTTCAACTCTCGGGCAAGCCAGGGAAACTCAGGTTCACACCTCCTTCAGGCTCTCCAAGCTGCTTTATCACTCACATTTTGAGGTGTTCCCCCCCCTTTTTATACTGACAGTACTTAGTAGCGATTCTCAAAGGGGGTACTATAATCCCGATTAAGGACTGTTAGTAATTAAGGGTGGAGCATCCCAAACTCACATCTCCAAGACTCGAGGCACGACACCCATGTCTAGAATGCGTCAGGATGTGGGGGCAAAGCCCAAACGGCATGGCGTGCGTTTGGGCTAAAACTCTGAAACCGCCCTCCGAAGCTTCGGTGTCGTTTTAGCAGGCTCTTGGGGTTCCTAAAACCTAAGCCCCAAACCCCAAACCCTTTAGACTTTATACCGTAATGTTGCAGGCAGATGGACGAGCCTTTGCCTTTAGCCCTTCCGCCAGCAGCTCCAACCGCCTGCCAAGGAGCCCTTCTCTGCTTGAGATTGGAGGGCCAACTTGAAAGCCGCTTCAGGCTTAGCTTACAGGAGGCATGAACGGGTTGCCCCGGCCTCTCGCGGAAGTCACTACGCTGCGCGCTGGGCGCAGCGCCACCAGCCAGGATTAGAGCCTCGTAGGATTCTTGACGAAGCTTCGGCTTGAATTGCCTCATGATTTGGGCTCACCAGAACCCCGTGATGCTGCGCTTGCAAGCCTCGTCGACGGTCGCCGCGGCGGCGATGCTTCGCACTAGAGCCTCTTCCCCGCCAATGAAGGGGGCCGCCTCAGCACTGGCGCCTCTGTCCATGCTAGTCCCTAGCCACCCTAGCCGCCTTTGCCCTCAAATCCTTCCAGGCGGTGCGCCTGCCAATAGTGCTCCATGCTGGGGAAGCCTGGGTCCATGCCGAGTCTCTCAGAGGGGTTCAGGTTGCAAGATCGCATTGTGATTCTGCTTGATTGGGGACATCTCGGCAAAGCCCGGTGAGGCAGGCAAGAACTGTCAAGTGCCAGTGAACATCCTTAGAAGTGATTGCCCTCCACTCATGCGCCCGGCAGCTGAAGCCAGCGATCGTCACCGCAGCAGGGAAGGCCTCTGCTTGCGGGAAGCTTTCGGCTCTCGTGATCCCTCTTAGCGCTCTGTGCTAGCGAGCCGCGTGGCACAAAGGGTCCTGCGAAGCAGGCAAGAATGCCACAAGGTCAGCAAAGGCACAGCTTTCAATAAACGAGTGATGGCGGAGATGTTTGTCGCTTAACCAGTTGTGATGGGCCCAAGATCAATACATAAAGTCATGAAACGAAAGTTTTGACATTCAGGCACGGTCCACAGTTGCTTCCACTGGGCAAAATAATCAACACCAGAATCCATATCTTGTTGTTAATACCTGCAGCTATAGCACAAAGAATGCAAGGCACTGACGCTGGTGATGCTGCACCTGTGAATAACCTTGAGGGTCAGTCCTTGCCGGTGTTGCTGAAGCCTTAGTGGCACTGTCGCGCTTGAAACACGAGGAACCGACGGATCTAAAGGGTACCCTGCTTGGTGTCATTGGGGTTCATAAGGGAACAAAATCAGTATGCTGAGGAAGTAGTTGTACCACTGAGGGCCTACAGGACTCATAGGGGCAGCATGTGCCACTGAGAATCCAGGCGGAGGACCCCTACTCCTCCCCCGCACAAATATCAAATAATCTCAAGCTTGAGTTGAGGTTGCAGAGCAGGTGAAACCATGATTTCAACAATTCTAGGACGACTTGAGGCCCACACCCGGAGAAGTAGCTCGGGCTGAGCCTAAACCGAAAAAGCCTGCGTGTGAGGCGCTGTAGATGTGATCCGCATTCAGGTCCACCGTTCCCTCCGGCAGCTCATCGCCCTCCTCCTTGGAAGGGGCTCTCTTCAGGTTTCGGCCCAACTCCACCAGCCTCCCCCCCCCTTTCCCTCCCGAGAAACAGAGGCCTGCAGCCCACCCCTTTTGGGGTTGAGGTGGGGAGAAGGCTTGGTAGGCCCAGGTCTGCTGATACCACATACTCGGCACACGCGACGCTTATACTAGAGGCATCGGTCTCAGTGAATGCTGGCAAGGAGGCGATCACCACCTCCACCTCTTCACAGTCCTGGGGAGGCTTCTATGCCATTCTATGCCATTTCGTGCACTCAGGCGTTCCTAGGATTCGTACACTCCAGCCCAAGCAACATAGGCGAAGTCATCATCGTGGTCGACCTCGCCGCAGTGCGTTGCAAAGGCCTCTGCGTCGCCGAGAAGCGCCCCGCAGCCACCACCTCCGAGAATTGGAAGATGGGGATTTCTGCAAGGCAAGGAGGCCTAATATCGGATCCAGATCGGACCCAATAGAAGAAACATGGCAAAGCTACTCTCGGCCAGCCATGAAGGCGGTACTGGAAGCAGCATGTCAGTTCTACGCCATTCTACGCGTGTGGCCTGGCATCTCGCACCTGCTCTCAATGCCAAGAGCCCCGCTTCCTTTTTCCCCAAACCCCGGAACAGTAAAGAGGTCTTGAACACCAAGCCGCAGCCCTTATGCCCTAAACTCCCAAACCTCAACCTCTCAGAACCTGGAAGGTCCGAGGCCCGATGCAACAAACAGGGGCTGATTGCCGAGGCGCATTTGATTTTTTTGGCGCGTCGCTGTTTGGCCTTTTTCGCGGCCTCTGCAACATGCCTCAGTAGATTCTCTTGTGCTGCAACATGCCTCAGCATATTCTCTGGTGTTAGCTTGGTGTAACCTATCTTTAAAAATCATATTCTATGATTGGATCTCTCTCTCTCTCTCACTCGCTCTCTCTCGCGTTGCATCCTCTGAGGCTTAGCCCTTGAGGCCCCTCAACGAAACAGTGAGCCTGTATTCTTACATTCCTATATCATTGTTAGGTTGTACTGCTATATTGAAAGAACTTCTAATGCTTATATTCTTGTGGTAAGGCTGGGTTGGGTGCAGGGCTTGGCTTCGGGGTTCGGTTGTGAAGTTCCCTTGACTTTCCAAGGCCTTTATTTAAACTGTAGTATATACGCCGGCCCCACATCTATGGGCCGCTTTCGCCCCATCTTTCTCTCCACTGATGCCTTTTTTTGACCTCCACTATGTCCCATTTTTCTTAGACTCTGTGTGAGGGCTTGAGCTTCGCGCATAATACCCCAACTGACTCTCAGCCAACGGACTGCCGCGCCAGCTCAAGAGCTTTTACATCCAGGCTCGCATCGCCTGCGCCGGATGCGGCTTGAAGATGTTGGGTTTAGGGTCTACAGGCGCGTCTACAAACTTGGGAAGATGTATAATTTTGGGGAACAATGTAGAGCAATTACTTGAGACTTTGCGATGGTGATGTTGAAAACCCACCCAATCCTGATCCTGAACCCTTTCAACACCCTCATCGCCCCCACCTTTCTTCTGCTTCTTCTGCTCCTGCTCTACTGAAACATCGGCAGCTGCTCCCGACACGATCGGGTCGTAGTGCTGTCCAGTGTAGAGGAGGTAAATCCTCGAGGTTTTGTTTTCCGGGGCAAGTCAGGGGCCGAAGAAACCTTTCAACCCTCGGGCTGACTTTACATGGAGTCCTCTCCGTTTCAGAAAGCTTCAGAGCATTGCCTTCAAAGATGTAATAATTGTAATAATTGTAAGAATTGTAATAATGGTAATAACTGTAGTAATTGGATGGAACCTGCTTCATCCACTTCCTGCCCAAGTCGCCGCGCAGAGCTGTTCGGAAGGTCGGAGCCGTAGCAAAGCACTGCAGCCAGAAATGTGGGAAGAGAGGCAGGTTGGGTTGGGGAGGGCATATAATACACCGACTGTCTCAGTCTGGCCTGGTAGCGACAAAAACCTTTAGGATGCCTACACGACACTGCCGCACCTGGCGCATTCCTAGAGGTTCTGATGCCCTCCCTCTCTTCTTCTTTTTCGGGGCTTGAGGGGCACTGAGGCCCTCCCTCTCTCTCTCTCTTTCTCTCTTTCCTTCCTTCCTGTGCGCATAGACCCCACAGGGCCGCCTCGAAGGGCATGCTCAACCGGGTTCGTCCGTGTGTGAAACTGTGCGTGGTGCTGAGTGGAGCTTAGCAACAACAAGACTCAGAACATGACGCCACGGCTCCCTGTGCCCAGGGTACTCCCTCTTTCTATCAATCTCTCAACTCTCTCAATAGCTCTCGCTCTCCTTCCCAACACCTGTACATGCTGAAACAGAGCGCCGTTTGATGCGCATGCCTTGCATGGACTCGCAACAGACGACGGCCACTTCGACACCTCCGTGCGGCATTCATGGAGGCAATAAAGTCTCAAAATAAAGTATAGAGAACTTAAAAGACTCATCTGGGCAAGCGCGGTCGTTTTGGACGCTACATTGCTACATTCGCAACTGCTTGGCTTCAACACCACGCAACGAGCTTGACTTTGACCAGTCTGAAGCGTTCAAGACCCCAAGGCCACCATGATGCATTCAACTGGATTGTGAACGACTGCCATATCCACCCTAAAGCCTAAACCCCCAGTCACAAAGTGCCCAGAATGCATCATTGCACGGGCTGCACGAGCATTGTAAGCTCCAGGCCATAGTGTTTGGCCAGGCATATGATCCTGAGGTCACGCGTCCAGATTGGCGACGGCCCCTTGCGAAATCTTGCTGGCAAGCTGCTCATTCTCTCCGCCCCAATGGAACTCCTTACAAATTCACTGCTATAGTTTGGGAGCGATTTGGCAACTTTTTCTCTGAATTCTGCTCAGAACGCCATGGGGCCACGAAACAAAGGCTCGTATAAACCCCACGTGTGAACATCAGCCTCTGCCACACCAACGGTGGCCAGAACAAAACCCATGTTTATGAGATGATCTTTGCTGTGCTCACTTTTCGGAAGTGCGCACATTCATGCGGAGAAATGCTTGCGAAAAACACCTCAGAAGCTATGAATGGGGCCTGAGTGGATGAACACTGACCTTTCTGCTGGCTGTGTGGCTCCACATGATACTGTACATTCCCTCGTTGCATGTCGTGACAGCCCCGAGGGTACACACGTGCGCAAGCAGAAGCTTGAAGCATGCAGGAGAGCGTTGGACCGAATGCAACGAAACATGAACCGCCCTCAACCAGGAGAAAGACCCTGTGTGGCCACCCTGGATGCGCATACACATGCGCACACGCACGCACGCACCCACATACCCACCCACGCACCCACCCACCCACCCACGCACCCACCCACCCACGCACCCACCCACACACCCACATATGCACACGCACACACCCACACATGCACACACCAACACCCACGCACGCATAAACCCACCCACACACCCACCCACCCACACCCACACCCACACCCACACCCACACACCCACACACCCACACACCCCCACACACCCCCACACACCCCCACACACACACCCACACACCCACACACCCCCACACACACACACCCACACACCCACACACCCCCCACACAACCCACCCACCCCCGCCCACCAACACCAACACCAACACCACACACACACACACACACCAACACCACACACACACACACACACACACACACACCAACACCACACACACACACAC